TGCCCCAGGTAACCCAGTGATTTAATAGGGAGGCAGATAAGTAAATGATCAATTAATGCAGCAGGGTCAGGGTGCTGGGCAAATTAGGGTGGGAATTGCCAAGGGAGACTTGTACCAACCAGGCTTTTTCTTTGGGGCTCCCAAATCACGACACAGAAATTTATTATTAGTTACGAATGCTCACTCTAGTTTACGTTCGTTTCTGGCTAGCTCCTCTGACTAATTAACCTGTTACTCTCCATCTGCCTTTTACTTTTCTTTCCTTCTGTCTGTCTTATGTTCACTGCTCCTCATGTCCATCTGTCTGTCTGGCAGCAGCCTGGCTTTTTGCCCTGGGAGTGTCCCTCTGTTTCTCACTCTTCTCTCTTCTCTCATTTCTCATCTTTGGAGTCCAGGCTTCTCTTCCTGCTTACTCTTTCTGACTGTCAGCCCCTCCTATCCTTTCACTGCCTAACTACTGGCTGTTCAGCTTTTTATTAGACCAATCAGGTGCTTTAGGCAGGCCAGGTGAAACAAATGCAACACATCTTTACATCATTAAACACACATCTTTACATCGTTAAACAAATGTAGCATAAAAAAATGTATCCCGCCTTTACACAGTTAAAGCAACATTCCACAGCATAAATAAATGTAACACATCTTTGCCCAGTTAAAATAATATTCCACAACAGAGACTCCCACTCAAAGATACCCCTCAGCCGAAACCTGAATGGGAATGAGGGATTCACCAAGAAGAATGGGGCTAGAGAGAGAGCTCAGCAGAAACATCACTTGCTGCGCAAGCCTGAGACCACCTAAGTTTGATCCTTGGAATTCACACAAAGGCAGGAGAGAATCAGGTCCACAAATTTGTCCTCCGACTTCCACATGTGCCCCATGGTACGTGAGTGTCCTCAGGGATGATAATGATGGTGGTGATGGTGATGATGATGACGGTGCTGATGAGGATGATGATGATGATGGGGAATGGTGACGGTGATGATGATGGTGGTGATGTGATGATGGTGACAGTAATGGTGGTGATTATGGTGGTGATGATATCTAATAGTGATAATAATAATAATAATGAATTGTTCTAAGAATAAAAAAGAGGGGCTGGAGAAATGGCTCAGTGGTTCATAAAGATCATGCAGCTCATGCTGAGTACCTAGGTTCAGTTCCCAGGACCCATAACGTGGTTCACAGCCAGGGATCCAACAACCTCTTCTGACCTCCAGAGGCTTCTGCATGCACACAGTGCACATATGTATCCATGTATACATGCACTTAAGCACATACACATAAAATTCTATTTCTTTTCAAAATTAAAGTGGTAGAGAGTGGGGGCAGCAAGTAGAGAAAAGGGAGAAGCATGTGTTTTAGAGGAACCCATAGCAATTTGCAGTGAGTGAACTAGGAGTGGAGGTGCTGAGGCTGGAGAGGAACGGGTGGCTGATGAAGGCCTTAAATTATACTGAGCCGTCCAGGCTTTCGTCCGAGGCAGATGGGGCCAGGGCAAACAGGAATAGTGATCTAATCATTTTTTGAGAGATTCCCCTGACTTCCAAGTGAGGAGTGGGGTGCAGCTGGCAGGAAACAAGCTAACACTGGATGCAAATGATTATTTGGGACTTCAGCTAAGGAGAGTGGCTACCTAGAGGCAGTGGAGATAGAAGGATGAGTTCCAGAGGCAATGAAGAAGCTGAATGGACTGGTTGGGAGTCCTGTCCCCTGGAGGCGGCTGGAATGCAGGCAGGATTTTGCAGGAGAGCTGGGTACCGCCATTCCTAGAGACAGAGAACAGATGGAGGAGGAGGTTTGGGGAAGGCAGATGTTATGACTCTGGTATGGACCCGGTGAGTCTGAGGCACCCAGAGGGCAGGCAAGCCGCCGTCAGGGAGGCCTGGAGCCCTGGGATCTGATGATGGTGGGCTAGGGCAACACAGATGATAATGCTGTGGCAGATATGGAGGAGGGGCGGAGTTAGAAAAAGGGGGGGCAAAGCTAGGACCCTGAGAACAGCGTGCGCATGCCCACACCGAGCTTTCTGAAACCTTCCTATCAAAATACCACTTTCCTCCTGCACAGATATTAGCTACACGACATAGTTACACAAATGGAGCATTTGCTGACCATAAATCACAAAGAAGTTTATCTTAAAACTATTCTTTGCTATACACGTTTCGCTACCCGATGAAGGTGGAAACAAATTTGCACAGTATGGAGATGGATTTATTTTACTTTTTAAATTAGGTGAATGTTGAGGGAGGCATGTGCCCATGAGTGCAGGTACCCTCAGAGACCAGAAGAGGGCGTTGGACCCTTGCAGTCAGAGATAGAGGCGCTGGCGAGCCACTCGCTGTGGTTGCTGGGAAAACAAAAGTCACCACAAAAGCAGAGGGCGCTCATCCCTCATGAGCCTTCCCACGAGTTCCTCACTTGTTTATTTTTACATAAAGAATGAAGGCTGAACTGAAAATCTGGTACTTCAGGACACACAGTAACTTTAGTGTTTTCAGAGTTGGTCCTTGTTTTGATTTTATGTTTTGATTTCAAGTGTGCCGAGAAAGCCATTTCCCAGAAAGCCTTAATACAAAATGGCAGAAATATGTTTTGTGCCATTTCAAAAACTGCTGGAAATTATGGCTTAATTCCAAGCCAAAATTAATTAGATTTTAAAAATGAAACTCAAGCCAGCAACTCAAGTAGTTTTAAAAGCAAACATTCTAATGCAATACAGTCTAAAGATAGAAATATAAACTAATGTGATTTTTGTTATCTGAGGAATATTAGAAGGGGAATATTAGAAGTCTTGTGTTCTTTAATTAATCTGTTATGTCTTTACAAGGGCAAAACCCTTTGTCCATGTGGTTAAAAACACTGTGATTTATAACGGACAATGCTGTTGAGCTCATCTGGACAAGGTGTTCCAGGCCACATGTTAGTTTTTGGCATCTTACCGTATAAAGTGGGAATGCCCTGTGACATCACCGGTAAGCCAAGACCTCGTGGGGATACACAGGTTAATAAAAATGGGTTAATAATTAAAAGCCAATGAGAAGCCTGCCCGCGAAAGTACGGAGAAGAAAACCGTCGCAGGGAGGGGCTGCCCAGCCCAGCCCCACCCTCTGAAGACGGGCTCAGATAGGAAGTCTTTACTGGGGCTCTGCAGTGGTAGCAGAAACCAGGCTGAGGCTGCAGCTCGAAGCAGAGGCAGGAGGATTTGGGGTTCAAGGCCAGCCTAGGCTACCCACTGAGCAGCAAGCTTCTCTCCCCATATATGGGGCGTTGATGGTTCTTTGCGTGCATGCCTTTCCTTGGTTCATAAGAAACAGTGGTTCACAGTGGAACTGGAAGGTGGCCATCTGTGGCTCTGGGGTAAGGCCTTTCCTGTTGAAAGATTTGCCCAAGAGGGGGCAGGAAGAAGATGGCTGGAAAGAAGTGGAGAGAGAAAAGAGAGAAAGAAATGGGGTAAGAAGAGAAGAGGGAGAGGGAGAGAGAGAGAGAGAGAGAGAGAGAGAGAGAGAGAGAGAGAGAGAGAGAGAGAGAGAGAGAGAGAGAGAGATCCCTAGATTGGGTTCAGGTGACCACCTGTATACAGCCTGAAACGATTTCAAAGTATGATCTTGTCTACTCGGGGTTCACCCTGATTGGAAAAGAGGGAAACTACCCCATAAAGGGACCATCACCCTAAAGTTTCTTTTTTTTAATTAAAATATTATTTTTAATTTTAAAAAGGTGTGTGTGTAGGATATAATGTAGTTAAAAATAAATGAACCCTAAATGTTACCATTTTGTGTGCCTTCATTTATATGAATTAAATGACAGAGATGAGGATGGTATAGACCTGTAGCGATATGGACTAGGATGGGGTATATACGTAACTGAAAGTTCTTCAAGATGAGTATCTAAGGCATATACTTATTGCGGATGAATTATCCAAAATGAATAAAAATGCCCACTGCTTCGGTATAGTGCAGCTCGAATCCCATCGACTTTGTCTCTTCCTAATAAATCCCAGTGACTATTAATAGTGGATCTATCAGACGGCGATACCCAAGTCTTACTGACTCTAGAGCAAGACTGGAATAAAATGGTTGAAGTTCAGAGTGCAGGACATCCTAAACGCTGAATTCTGAGGTCTGGGGCCGTGCTCACATAGCTGAACACTGCTTGTCATTCCTGGGTGTGTTGCCTTCAGCCCCATAAACTGTGCTGAAAGGACCAATGCAGACAGTGAGAAATCTGAGGGGGTGACCTAGAGACTTAAGTAAGAGCTAGAAGGTAGCTACAATCCCAGAAATTCTGACACTGGGAAAGTATGTGTGTGTGTGGGGGGGGTTCAAGGCCAGCCTTTGCTACATAAGGGTTGGGGGCGAGCCTGAGCTACTTGAACCACAGTTTTAATCCTCTACCTCGCCAGATCCAAATCAAAATAGCCACATGCACAAACCCCGGCCTGTTCATACTTGAGTTCCTGTGTTCCAGGCTTCCACCTGCCATCTGTTTTGCTTTCGAGAGAGGGTGTTTAAACCCGTTATGTATCTCAGGTCACCTTGAATGTCTGAGGCCTCACTGGCTGAGGGCTGGGTTTCCAAGCATTCGCCAGCACGCTCAGTTTACATAGCACTCACTGGGGGGTGGAACCAGGGCCTAGTGCATTGTGGGTATGGGCTGAGAGGACTGGACTCACCACAGGGCTCACCAAGACCCTCGTTCTCAGCTCAGCGCAAAGGAGATTTATTTGCCCCAGAGGGACAAAGGGCAGGGAGTAAGACAAAGGAGAAGAAAGGCAAGGGGGACGGGGTGGGCAGGCATATTTGCCCCAGAGGGACAAAGGACTTCTCTGGGTGGAGAGGAGATAGATGTGACCTGTAGGCAAATGGCGGTCAATAAAGGGAAAAGGAGAAACCCCCGAGCTAGGATAAGGTCTTTAATTTTAATTAGAATGTTAATTAGAGCAGCCAAAAGGAGCTTTTGGTTGTTGGACTTCAGTCCTTTGCTAGATGGGCCTTGGTAGTCAGTTTGCCATGCTTCTGCCTGCTGAAGCCCTTCAAGGACTCTACCAGCTGAGCCAACCCACCCCCCTCCCGCTGTCCTTAAACATCAGAGGCCTGAAGTAAGAACTGACAGCTGGACGTGAGGCGATTAGAAGGCCTGCTGTGGTTTGCACGTCACAGACGATCGCCATGTATGTCCTGGAAATGACCCAAGCCATCTTCGTTCCAAGAACAAGAATTGCTCACCCTTTTAGGAAAGTGGACAACGGAAAAAGTCGTGTGAGTCCTTCTTTCAGACAAGTGATGGGGCTGCTTACCCAAGGTAAGCTTGCTTAAGCATCCGCAGTGTAGGCTGGGGATGCAGCCCAGTGGTTAGAGTGTTTGCCAGGCGTGTGCAAGGCCCTAAAATATCAGAAGTGCCCGTGGCAAGCAGACAGTGTCGAAGATCAGGTCCTGGTTTTGTTCCCAGACAGGGCTTTCTCTCTGAATATTTGAGGTTAAAATAAAAAACTCTCCGGCTGAGCCAGCACACTCCTTTGGCCAGTCATGGAGTCTGGACTCAGAACATGATTCTTTTGAGAAGCACTGTTAACTTCAGCTTGTTGCCAGCATGCGTTTTGTGTTTTGGTTGTTTTCCCAGACATTTCGGTGAGGAATAGACTGTCTCAGAGGTGGGAAAACAATACAAAACAAAACGAAAATGAATTCGGCAAAATCACAGTGGAATCAAAGCTTGGTAATGGGCCTTTTGCTATAAACACATTTTCATTTTTTTTAAAAATCAAGTGCTCTGTTTTTTTTTCTTTCCTGGAAAGAAAATGTGGTTTTACACACACACACACACACACACACACACACACACACACACACACACACACACACACACACACACGGATGGGGTGGGCTGTACAGAACAAGATGTTTCCTATTCCATTTGTTTCAAGCAAAAACTCTGAGGCTCTGGAGAAAATAAACCATACATAAATAGCAGAAAACAGACTGCATCTTGTTGTTATGGCAACGCCCTACTTATGTCACATTAAGCTGATTCATGTCTTTTCTCCCCTTGCTGTTAATAAATTATAGTGGCTGATGAGAATTAAGCTGGCTTGAAGAGTTGGCATGGACAAGATGCATATTAATTTGTCATCTAATTATGGGTGTCTCATAATTTTTTTTAAAAAAGAGGGTAACACTCGTTCATTGAATACTGTATTTTGAACGTGCCTTTATCATCTTTTGCTAGTATAGTGTGGATGGACAGGTTTGGGTACTGGCTGTTTTCTGACTGCTCTTGGCTAATTGTTCCCAAGGAGCAGGGGCAGAGCCTGGAAACACCTCGGTCTCTGTGTCTCTTGCCTGGTCTGCATGGCAGCGTTCAGGGCTTTTAATCATTCTATCTTTTTCAGCTGCTTTAATTTATGTCCACTGCCAGTCACACACACCAGCAACTGCAAAAGGCCAATAAAAGAAAAGCGTGAACCACGTGCCTTCACCAATGGGTGAGTGTAAGAAAATGGGCACAGGGCAATGGGAAAATGGCTCAGCAGTTATGAGTTCGGACTGCTCTTCCAGGGGATGCGAGTTCAGTTCCCAGCACCACAGGGAGTGGCTCATAATGAGTGGTTCCAGTTCCGAGGAATCAGATGTCCCCTTCTGGCTCCCAAGGGCACTCACACATATGTGGTGTTCCCACACACCACGCATAAATAAAGATTAAAAACAAACCTTCAGGAAATGATAATCATCAGGCAATGTGTAAAGCTTGGTGTAGAAGAGAAAAGAATGAATCAATAAATATCTAAAAGATGCTCATTTTTGCTATCCGTGTAGTGGAGGCCTTTAATCCCAGGATGGGGGAGGCAGAAGCAGGCAGGTCTTTGTGAGTTCAAGGCTAGTCTGGTCTACATAGTGAAACTCTGTCTCAAAATATATGCTTCTTTTCTTTTTTTTTTTTTAATTTAAAACTTTCTTTATGTTCATTGGTGTTTTGCCTGCATGTATGTCTCGGTAAAGGTCTCGGAAGCCCTGCAATTGCAGTAACAGACAGGTGTGAGCTTCCATGTGGGTGCTGGGAATTGAGACAAGAACAGGCAGTGGTCTTAACCACCAAGCCATCTCTCCAGGCCTCGTAAATACGTGCTTATGTCCAATTGTTGTCACAGAAATTAAAGTGGCAATGCTATCTTTTCTTCAAGGAGCAATTAGGAAACATTCAATAAATAACTCTATGCCGTGGAATTCTATATGAGAAAATCAGGCCCTCCTGATGTTGCTTAGAACAGCAGAATTTGGAGTCATTTTAGTCTTTAAAAAAGAATTCTTGGTGTGATGGTGCATGCCTTTAATTCCAGAACTTTAGGATCAGAGATAGGCAAATCTCTGTAAATTCAAGACCAGCCAGGCTACAGAGTGAGACCTTGTTTCAAAGTTTTGTTTTCTGTTAAATTTGTTATTAATGTCACTGTGGCATGTGTGGTGGTCAGAGAACGTGGGGACTCTCTCCCTCCATCCCCTTCCACCTTGGTGTAAGTTCTGGAGACTGGACTCAGGTCATCTGGTTGGACTCCAATCACTCTTACCCGGTGAGTCATCTTGCTGGCCTTGAATTAACTTTCATGGAAGTAATGTCCTATTTGTCAAAATTTTAATTGGACATGCTCATTAATAACTGGAGTTTTCTTTCCCGCCTGGTCCTACACCCTCCCTTTAGCCCCAAATAAACACATAAAGATGTATATTAACTATTAAACTGTTGGTCGATGGCTAGGGTTTCTTATTGTCTAGCTCTGTCTTAACTATTAACCCATTTCTATTAATCTAAGTATTTCCAAGTGGTCTTGGCTTACTGGAGAATGCCTGGACCTGTTACTCCTTTGGTGGCTACATGGAGTCTCTCTCTGCCTACCTTTCCGAGCATTCTCCTCATCTCCTAGCCCCACCTATCTTCCTGCCTCTATTGGCTATTGGCTAAACTGTTTTATTCATCAACCAATAAGAGAAATGTAGATACGGAAGGACATCCCCCATCACTCATTAATCCAGCAGCTTTATTGCAATGAATTAATTTATTCATATTCATTTTCACTTAAGTAATTAAAGAATTTTTACAGGATGTTCATTGCAACACTGACTGTAATGGTAAAATAACATAATAAAAAAGTTAAAACATATACTCATTAGTGGGCTAGCTAATAAATTGATTCAACCATTCGTGGAATGATACACAAATCTATAAAAGGATACAGAAAAATGTAAAGAACATAAAGACTAAAATTATCAACTTTCAGAACTGTTTGCATAACACAGTTTGCACTAAAACATGTCTTTTTATGCTATTATAGTCGTATTGCATTTCTGGGAAGCCTCATAAGTCATCATTTTGCTCTGTAAGCTGTGAACAGACAAGTAGTAAGAAATAAAATGAATGGAATCAGATGCTGCCTGTACAATAGTGGGGCCTGGAGTTTGGATCCCAGAACCGAGGTATAAGTAGTGAAGGGCCTACACTCATCCATACACACTCATTCATACACACTCACCCTTCTCATACACATTCATACTCACCCACTCACACACGGTCACACATACACACTAACACATTCACTCACACACACTCACACAGCCTTATTCACACATATAATGCATGGATTGGAACATTTGGAAGAATGTTGCATTATATTGCATTTTTTACATGAAAATGACATTTTAAATTTTGGATTTATTTACTATTTTGTATGTACAACTGTTCTGCCTGCCTGTATGTCTGTGCACCATGTGCATGTCTGATGTCTGAGGAAGTTGGAAAAAAGATTCGATCCCCTGGAGCTGGAATTATGGACAGTTGGTTGTAAGCTCACAAGTGGGGGCTAGGAATCTGACTTGAGCCCTCTGCAGGAAAGAGTGCTTTTAACTGCTGAGCCATCTCTCCAGCCCCACGAATATTACCTTTGATTGGCTTTATGATATATAGGTTTTACACACACACACACACGCATCTGGAAGAATTGGGAGGTAAATGACCGTCTGCCCACAGTCTTGCTAAAAAGATATAAATGTCTGAAGCATTAAGAAGACATACAGGAGCCGGGCGTTGGTGGCGCACGCCTTTAATCCCAGCACTCGGGAGGCAGAGGCAGGTGGATCTCTGTGAGTTCGAGACCAGCCTGGACTACCAAGCGAGTTCCAGGACAGCCTCCAAAGCCACAGAGAAACCCTGTCTCGAAAAACCAAAAAAAAAAAAAAAAAAAAAAGAAGACATACAGGATGTCTTACAGTTCATACAGCTTGCACACCGATGGCTGGCACCTGTGGCAGTATCCTTGGAGGTAAGGAAAAGTCCCCAGGACTTTTCTGAGCATCTGCCAACATCTGCACAGGACTTTGCAAAGCGGAAAAAGCTTCCAGCCCATCAGAGTAGAGCCCGGTGACCTGACAGTTAACAGAGCAAGGTCTCTGCCAGTCTCTCCTGAATAACCTATAAATTTAAAGAAGTGCTTCTGCACAAATAATCATCATTTATAATATTGCTCGTTTAGAGTGACCCCCCATCCCCATCAGCACACACATGCCAGGAAATTGTATATGGAGGTCAGAGGACCGTGCGTGTTCCTGGAATCAAGCACTCATCCTTAGACATAGTGACAAGTGCCCTTACCCAGTGAGGACCCATTCTCTCAGGCCCTGCATTGCCTACTTTTTACTGGAGACAACAAGAAGATACTTGGTTTCCAAAGAGCAACAACACATACACAAAGCAAATGAAGTAAGAAGACAATAACAATGGGTGTGGTGACGCACACCTTCCATCTCAACTCTTCGGAGGCAGAGGCAGGAGGGTCTCCGTGAGTTTGAGGCCATTCTACAGAGTGAGTTCTAGTCCAGCCAGGTATATACAATGAGACTCAGTTTCACCACCACCCCTGTCCCCGCAAAAGATGGCGACAGCAACAAATCAGAAGAAAGCCCACAACATTAATTTCCATTTAGCATGGAGGGCCCTAGCAAACCAAATGTGAAACCTTAATGACAGGTATTTCTAGACAAGGGGAGTCTCAAGGGTTTCTCCTCCCAAGTGCCTTTTCCCAGAAAGCTGCTAATGTCTGTACTCTGTCAAATCTGGTACTAAACAAGAGAGAAAACAGCGGTGGAAACAGGGCACCCAGAAGGAAAGCGCTGAAGAGCTTCTTGGGCTAGGGATGTGGTTTAGTGTGTCAAACCAGGCATGGGGGCACACATCGGTCATCTATGGAAGTAGAGGCAGGAGGATCAAAAGGTCATTCTTAGGTACAGAGTGAGTTTGAGGTCAGTCTGAAATAACACAAAGAGGAGGAAGAAGAGGAGGAGTCATTGTCTGACACCCTCTCTGGTCTCTGTGTGCAAGTTCATCCCCACACAGGTGTGCACAGACACCACACACACACACACACACACACACACACACACACACACACATATATATAAACACACACCTTTCTAAAAAGTGATTTTTAAAGGAATCACACACAAAACCTGGTATGGTGGTAAGTGCCTGTAATGTCAGAACTTGGAAAGTGGAAGTGTAGGTGGAGGCTTTGGGGTTAAGGTCATCCTCCACCACACAGGGAGTCCAAGGACAGACTGGACTACATGAGATCCTGTATGGAGGTTTTGTTTGTTTGATTATTTTAGTAAGATATAACTTTATTAAATTAAGGGAATGAAAAGCATTGGAAAGTTAAAATGACCAGCTTCCATAATAGAAAAAAGAGAGAAAGAGAGAGGGGGAGGGAGAGGGTGTGTGTGTGTGTGTGAGAGAGAGAGGGGGGGGGCAGACAGACAGACAGACAGAGGGAGGAGAGACAGAGAGAGGGAGGGGCCAGCTCCTAGGCTAACAGTGCTGCTTCACAAGCCTTATGACCTGAATTGATGGACCCACATGATAAAAGTCATCCTTAGCCACCATGTTAGTGCTGAGGCCGGTACATACACACACACTACATAAATAAATGAACATAACTGAAAGCGCAAGAGAAAGAAGAAAGAACAAATATGGGAGTTGATAAGTAGGAGAAGAGAGTCATCTGAGACACACGGATGAATAATAGAAGACACACAGCGCTCGCCTTGAGGGGCCAGAAGGAAGGCTGGCAAAGGACAGAGATTACTATTTTTTATTAGACCACTCTCAGGACTGGCCGACTTTATAAGCTACATAAATTTTTAAGCACTTGACAAATCTGAGGCTTTGACATTTCTGAACGGAAGGTTTTTCATTCTTAGTTCAATGCCTGCAAAGTCCTGGGTCACTAAGGTCTTCAAATATGGGCTGGTGCCTTTCGGGCTTCTACTGTAAGGGTGAGAAAAGCAGAGGCAACTCAAGCCTTTTATTTTTAACTTCCCAGGCTTAGCTTTCAAAGGCTCGCCCACCCTTCTTAAACCTCACCCTCTTATATTCTGATTTTATTTAAGATATTTAAGGACATGGTATAAAGATTTACACAACTGTGATGTTACGTGACTC